ATAGCCTGACACCAAAAACTATTACCAGAGGCTTGGCGGTAAGTTCTAGGCTCAGTGGTAGGTGGGGTAGTATCCTAAGAAGACACAAGGAGTGGAGCGTGGTTGAAGTTTGTGGTGAGTGTAAGGGCGGAGCCATGGATAAACCAAGCAACCAAAGGCACGAAGGTGGGTATATGTAGGAGGACGATTATAAAGAGTTTCAAAGGGAGATTTGTTGGAGAGAGTTTTGGTGGGCATACGGTTGATAAGATAGTTTGCTGTGGCAAGAGCTTCGACCCAAAAGGTAGTCGGGAGAGCAGAGTCGTATAGAAGAGAAACAACCGTTTCAATGAGATGACGGTGTTTCCGTTCAGCTACCCCATTTTGCTCAGGAGTGTAGTCGCAGGAGCTTGATGACCGAGTCTACGATGCCAAGTGGACTCTTGGATAGCTTGATACGCAACGGTTGGGAGTTTGGAAGGAAGTGTGTATAACCCATGCTCACAGAGGCCCTTGTACCGCACCTGGTTGGTAGGATTGTCCACTATTTGGAAATCATTGGCATTGAAAACAAGAGTGCAGTTGTTATCTTTGGTAAATCGATGGACAGACAATAGATTGGAGGTAAGGGAAGGGACATAATGAAGAGTAGAAAGGTGGTATTTACCATTAGGAGTATGGACAAAACCTGAGCTAGAGTGTGTGATGGGTAGGGATTGACCATTTCGTACGGTAATAACATCAGTACCGGTGTATTGATGAGGAGATTGTAGCTGAGAATAATCAGACGTGACATGTGTGTTGGAACCAGTGTCCAGATACCGGTTTCCAGAATGATTACTCGTAGATGCATGCATTGCACGGGGAGCACTGGAGGAGGAGTTCACAGTATAAGAATCATCAAATCGATACCAGCACGCAGATGCCGAGTGACCTCGTTTCTCGCAGATTTGGCAGGTTGGCAGATCCCGTGACGGTCGACCGTTTCCCTGGGACGGTCGACCGTTGTTCCTTTCTCCACATCCGCTGTTGTATCCACGTTCAGGTGACGGTCGACCGCGGTAGCCTCCTCTACCGCGACCTCGACCGTTCATAGCGAGAAGTGCTGTGCGAGGTTCGGTGATGGTAGACTCGGTGAGGCTGAGTTTATTCTCCATCTCTAGGTTTATTTCTTCGGAGATCAGCCATCCAGAAAGCTGATTTAACGAAATATTGGTATTGTTCATGCGAATTTTTTGCTTAAAGGATGAGTATTCGGTGGGAAGACCACGAATAACAGCATTCACCACATCACGTTCAGGGATCTCTTCTTTTAAGGCATCGAGATCCGAGAGAATAGTTGCCACATCATCAAGGTATTGTGTCATAGTTTTGGTACCTTTACGAAGAGTGTGGAGTTTTTCCCGAAGCTGATAAACATGAGCGGTGGACACGGAGTTGTACCGTGCGGCCAAAGCATCCCAGAGGGCAGCAGATGTGGTGAAGTCTCGAGCATGTTTGTGAACGGAGGGGCTGATGACCGCTAGGAGGCAGGCGCGGATCTGTGTGTCAACGATGGTCCAGGAGGTATACTCTGGATTAGGGACGGTGTTATCGTTTTTGGAGATAGTTGACGCCGGGGCTGCTTCATGACCATCAATCCATCCAAGGAGGAGATTAGCTGAAAGAGCTGTCTGGACATTGAGAGACCATGCCGGATAATTTGTTTCGGTGAGTTTTTCTGGGATTAAGTTGTGGAGACTCCGAAGCAAAAGTTTTACTCTGGAGGGTAAGGACGCCAAAGGATCCGACGGGGCTGCCATGGTGGGCGGCGGTCGGAAAAAAAGAGAGGCTAGGTTTTTGAGAGCCTTAGCTATGATACCATGATACAATTTGATAATAACTTGTCTTATTGAATATTGAGAGATATGGCCCTATATATAGGGAATACAAGAGTAATCAAAGTACAAGTAGGAAAGGAAAGAATAATCCTAGTAGGAAAGGAAAGAAGTATCCTAATTTAATTATACTTCCTAATACTTATTATTATTATTATTATTATTATTCTTCTTCTTCTTCTTCTTCTTCTTAAAAATGAAAAAGAATAAACTTTAGAAACAAGTTAAATAGAAAACTGAGAAATTAATCCTTAACTATTAGACATCAAAAAAATTATTTTTAAAATACATTGACAATGCCAATCTAATTCTACTTTTAAAATACATTTTTATTGCTACCTGTAATTTGAATTTCTACAGTTTTGATCTTTTATAAGGATGAGATATTTTAATAAAAATACTATCTTTTCTCTGTATTGATTTTATATAAATTAAATATTTATTCTAATGTATGTATGAACTAATTATTAAAATATTAAATCAATATTCTTATTTTACAAACAATAATCATAAAATAAAAAATATTATTACATTAAAAAATCGTGGAGCAGCATGGCGGACCGTCAGTCCGTCACAATAGACAGCCGCCCGTCATCTCACTGTATTTTTTTATTTAGATTTATTTTACGGAAAACAATAAACAACTTATTTCATTGCATTAAATGTAACACCCTAATCCGTCCAGGTCTGCAGCCCCATTCGGACTAAATATTTATCTTGGTAATCGTAAAATTTAAAACTTTTCAAACACACTTTATTAATCTCAATAATATTTTTCATAACATATACAGTACGGAGTATTTAACAATATTGCGGAAGCGAATTTAATATTGACATATCATAAATCATTTCAAAACTTGTCACATCCATCCCGACAATCTCGCCCCATCTGCCGCCAGGATCACATTAATCTTTCTGTTTACCTGCGTGTAGCAAATAAAACATACTACACGCTCAGCGGTGAAGCTGAGTAAGCATATCTAAAACGTTGAACATCCACATAAATTGAATCTCAATTCATAATCAACCATTTGATATCATGCACACAATATATGGTTCAAACATTCAAAATATTTTCAATATTTTATTCCAAGTCATTTGATATTCAATATATATCAACCATGCTCTTAAATTATTCTTAATCTAAGGCCAAATCATTTTCTAACAAGCTCTTAGCTATTCCTAGTTTAAGACAACATTTCTAACCAGGCCCTTAAACTATAAATAGTTTAATGCAGAACACAAGAATCGATAATCCACCCTATGAGTCATGTGGATTACGTACCAACCGAACAATGATTTGTCGGGTGGGTGATATCTGGTCTGGATCCCGTACGTACGTT